TGTGTGTGTGCTGGTGTGTACAGGTGCCTGTAGTATCTGGGGAAGGGCACTGAACTTCTGGCACTGGAGTGAAAGGCAATGGTTGTGAGCCACTGGACATAGGTGCTTGGAATAGAACTCAGTTCTCTGGAAGAGCAGTAAGCTCTCTTGGCCGCCGAGCCTTCTCTCTACTCTCTCCAGCCCCTACAGTAGATTTGAAATTACGCTCATTTTGATCAGTTATATAATTGTGTCATTTTTTTTTTCAAATAAGATAAAAAGGTTTCATGCTTTGGAAACATCATATTTTTGTCTAATTGCATCAGATGTTTCCAGAATTAAAACAAAGATAAAAGCCCCTTCATCTTTTTTTCTTAACATTAATAAGAATCTTCCCAGTTCTCCAACATTACCTAATATTCCTGCTTTTAGTTTGAGATATGATTTCATCGTGTTCAAATCCATATCTATTCTGCAAACAATTTTGTATAATGAGATCTCCATAGGTTGTATCGGGTTCTCAGGGGTTCATCTTGGGCGGAAACAGTTGAGCCCACAAGACTATTATGATCACATCCTGCACCTGCCTTCTCTGAAGGATAAAGGATAGGGACCACACTGTGCCCCTCTTCAGCACAGAGCTCAGGTGCAAAATGTAAAGAAACGCACTGTCACGTAGGTATAACTACCTGGATATAATGACCTTATCCTGTCTGGACCATCTCTGAGCTAACAGTGTAGGCGTGGTGTCCAGGGTCTCCCCAAGAGATCAACATAGAAAAGTAAACAGTGCCTAATGCTGTGGTTGCTACTCAGTGTGTTTGTTTCTCCCTGACTATAGTTTACACATGAGAACATCATTTTTACCAGCAATATAGGTCACATACTACCTTCTCAGGCCGACAGAGGCAGGGAACTAGAATGTTGACAAAGGTCAACTTCTCATGCAGAAGGAGACAGTGGTTTGCTAACGGGGACCCATGTGGCACTCTGGTATTAACTTGCTTAGAAGGTATCCTTTAGTTGGGTTCCTAGACTAAATTTGCTAGCCACAGGTTCAGGGCTTTAGCCCTGAGGTGCACATGGGAGGAAGTTTTGTTTTTGTTTTTCCCCTATCATGGTTAGATATCAATGTCTGTAAAGTGTTATTATTGTGTGTATTCGTGCATACCATTGTACATGTACGGAGGACAAATGACAGCTCTGTGGAGCTGATTCTCTCTTCCACTAGATCAATGTACATATGCATCAAATACAGACGTAAAAAAAAATGAGGATGTTGGTATATTTTTCTGTCCCTTATTGCTTTTGGTAAGGTATCAGAAGAAAGCTCAGCCAAGGGCTGCTTGCTTTATATGCAAAAAGAGAAGGAAATGGGGATATCTGGAAGTTTCAGGGCCTGTGTGATATTGAAGAGTTACGTTTATGCCTAAAATGTTAATAGAGATAAAGAGATGGTCAAAGCAGGGTGTTGACCCCCCAAACAGCTTTTCTGTGTCTGCTAGCCTTAAGGTGCTCTCTGTAAAGATGAAAAAAGAAGGAATAGGTAGAAGGAAGCAAAGAACTCGAGCCTAGGGACTAGGCCTAGGACAGATGTTAGTGGTGGTTAACTGTACATGAAATGAATTGCGAGCAACTGGATCATAAGCTTGTGAGGGTTTAAAGAAGCCTGGTTGCCGCAGAAACCATGAGTCTGGCCTGAAAATGTCTGTCTTTGAATTCCTTAAAGCAACAAAGGCTCATGCCTTCAAAACCGTGCCAGTGAAAGAGAGCTGTGAGTGACGAGAGCTCCTAATGAGGGCGTACACCCCAACAGTAATCTCTGATGTGGCTAGGGGTGGTTGTGGGCAAATTGGCTCCAAAGGGAAGCAAGCTGACCAGACCGCCTGACCGAGGCTCTTCTTCCATTGCCAGAACAGCCACAAAGTTCTCACTGATGGGGGTGAAAATGACCGTAGTAGCAGCTGTCTGTATCTGCTTCACAGATCTTTTCACAGCAGTAAACCTTGTGCCTGATCCACTGCACTGCAGCTGGGTTGGGGAGCAGTAGCTTGGTCAGAGGTGTGCAAAACACTGGCTATCAAAGGTCACTTCAGACCTTGATGGAGAGAAAAGCAAGCCCTGGACACCCAACTCTACTCTCCTGTGCCTCTCCCCTGTCACTTTGTTCAAAACCCACCTTTCCAATGGTTACCAAACCACTGCAGCTAAAACAACACTCCTCCACCTTCCTTGATCCTCTTTCTTCTCACCCAGCACCTACTCTGCTCCTTTGCCAGAATATAAACTCTCAGGGTGGGGCTTGCTCTCATCTCTGGCTGAAATCTTGGTACCTAAAAATGGCTATAGTCTCCCAATGAATATTGGTTGGAATAAAAGGAGTAAATAATTAGGTGCTTGTAATTTCTGAATGTTGGAAGTTAGATATTTGATTCTAATTTGGCTTCCTGTTGGCTTGGGGGACCTAATTCGGCAAAGAGGCACAATTCACCAAAAGCTAGTCTTGGAGACATGCCAGATTACAGAAGTCCATGCCACAGGAGACAAGCAAGAACAAAAACAAAAAGCTAAGCTCGGACCAACAGTGTGAGTGGGGATTGTTCCAGTGAAGAAGGAACATGGAGTGTTCTTGGCCAAAAAGGATAGGTATCAGAGGAGTGTACTGATATCATCTTATTTCCACCTATCATTCTTCTCCTTCCCTTCCGTGTTTATTTCTAGCCTACAGGCTAACTCAAATATCCAGTGTTGACAGAGCTTATTCAGAAACCCAACACAGGAGCCAGTACGCAATGGAAGCCACCAAGGAGCAGCCAGTGTGGCCTGGCAGCAAGTCTACATCACACTTACGAAAGTTCGGTTTTTCTGAAAAAAAAAAAAAAAAAAAAAAAAAAAGAATTTGACTTTTTCTTTTTTTTTTTTTTTAACTTTGTTACAAGCATCTGAAATGGATGACACCAAACTGTTTGCCTAAAACAATGTCCCAAGCCTGAACTGGCATGGATATTTTCTGAGATTAAAATAGAAACTTGTTTTGCTAACAGAAACAACTTGGAAATCAAAAAGACATTTAAGTTGGAACCATTATTTTTCCTGCATTTTGCAGAAAATTCCTGTTTTTACACACGCTGTTAAATCATGAGAGTGCAATCACCCTGCCACAGAGCCTTTCTCTAACATTTTTCTCTCTATTATTATTATTACTTATTAAAATTTATTCACTTTGTATGCTAGCTGTGGCCCCCTCCCTTGTCTTCCTCCAATCTCACCCTTTCTCCCTCCCTCTTCTCCCCCTATCCCCCTTCCCCAGTCCATTAATAGAGGAGGACCTTCTCCCCCTTCTATCTGACCCTAGCCTATCATGTCTCATCAGGATTGTCTGCATTGTCTTCCTCTGTGGCCTGACAAGGCTGCATCCCCCATGGGGAGGTGATCAGAGCCAGCCACTGAGTTCATTCCAGAGACAGTCCCTTCTCCCCTTACTAGGAAACCCACTTGGAGACTGCATCTATGGGCTACATATGGGGGTTTCAGGTCCTCTCCATGCATTGTCCTTGTTTGGGGTATTAGTCTCTGCAGGGCTCCAAGGCCCAGTTTTTTTGTTGTTTTTTTTTTTTTTTCTCTGTTGGTCTCCTTTTGGAGCTCTTGTCCCCTCCAGGTCTTTCTATTTCCCCCTCCTTTCATAAAATTCCATGAATTCTGCCCAAAGTTTGGCTATGAGTCTCAGCATCTGCTTTGATACCTCCATTACCGGAGTCTTTCAGAGGCCCTCTATGGTAGGCTCCTGTCCTGTTCCCTATCTTCTCCTGCTTCCAATGACTATCACATTTGCCCTTCTGAATGAGGATTGAGCATCTTCCCTAGGGTCTTCCTTGCTGTTTAGCTTCTTTAGTATAGATTTTAGTATGTTTATCCTATATTACATATCTAATAACCACTTATGAGTGAGTGTATACCATGTGTTTCTTTCTGCTTCTGGGTTACCTCACTCAAGATGATCTTTCCTAGTTCCCATCTTTAGGTGATCTTTGAGCAAGGAAGTGAGACTGTGAGCTATACAGTCAATGTCCTTAATGCATGGGCATGCCTAGAGGGTGCCAGAAGGCCAGGAGACCATGAGCTGAGGAGAGAGAGGACAAGAGAGCAAGCCATCGGGGGTATGGTCGAGGAGAGGAATGATTTAAGTTTGAACGCATATTTTATGAAAATCATGTGTTTTCAGCCCTTTGGTATAATGCTTTTTACTCTGCAACAGTAGCGTAGAAACTACTTCAAACAATCCCGCAGGGGTCCCCTCAGGACCAGACACACCACAAACCTCCTAAGTGGTAACGCCCCTTCCTCAGTAACACCTGCCCTCCCACGAGGTTCTCGGGATGGAGCTGCGGGAGACAGGCACAGTCTCCACGTTTGTTTCTTCTTCAAAATCCGATCTGAGCTCCAAAGCCCCTTTGCAGTTAAAAGGCGCAGGGCTGTTTCAGCTCTGCAGGAGAAGCAATCTGAGTCCACCTTCCTTTAATCAGTCCAAGAACCTCTCCCTTGTAGGTGCGGAAAACCTGGCTTCTCCCCTGCAGCCCATCAGTGGGGGGGGGGGACGTTCTGGGGGTTCCCCGCTGATTGTGTATCTCCTCCTCCCCTCACCCCCCACATCTCCTGCCTCAGCCCCCAGCGGTTAGGCTCACCCTTTCGGGCAGGTCACCCAACCCGCCCTTTCCCAAGCTGTGCTTGCAACTTTTCTCGCCGCCCCCGGACAAGCACCACCCGTGGCAACTGCTGCCTGCGCGAGCGGCGTCCCCGCCCCCTCGCCTGCCCGGCCCCGGGGGCCCCGGGAGGGGCGAGCCCCGGCGCGCGCCCAGGGCACCAGGGCGGCGGGGCCGGGAGGGCGGCGGGCGGCGCGGCGCGTCCCTCCTGCCTCGCCCCTCCCCGCGGGCGGCGCGGCTCCCGCCGCAGCACCTCCCCTCGCCGGGAGGGAGCCAGAGGGGGCTCCGCCAGCCCCGCCGCAGACCTGCCCGGCCGCGCGCCGCGCCCTGTGCGTCCCAGCAGCTCGGCCGGGAGATCCCGGGACCCCCAGCTCGCCGCCACCCCCCAGCGCCCCGCGCGCGCCCTGGCCCGGCGGCATGGCTGTGCTCCTGGCGGCGGTGCTCGCGTCCTCGCTCTACCTGCAGGCGGCCGCCGACTTCGACGGGAGGTGAGACGGGTCCCGGGAGCCCCCTCCTCTCCGTGGGGACCGCGGGTCGCGCAGCCTGGCTCCGGGCTGGGAAAACGAGAGGCTCGTGCCCCGCGGGCGGCGAGCGCGGGCGGGCGGCGGGACGCAGGTGACGAGCGGGACGTCCCTGCAGCCGGCGGCCAGTGCTCTGGGCGGATGGACCATGTCCGGAGGGGAAACTTGCAGGTGACCCCGGAGACTGGACAAAGGGTGACGGTGAAGACGCCCACTCCGGAACAGGGGGCACCCGAGGGGCTCCCCGCTTGGTTTTGGGGTGGTGGTGGGGGGACAGAAGCTCAACGTGAGAACAGAGAGGGGGCGCTCCGAGGGTGTGTCGGGCGTGGGTGGGGGCGACCACGCGGCACCGCTCAGACCTGGCGGACCTGACTGCTGCGTGCTCTGACAGGTCCCAACAACCTCCGGCTGGGTCTCCGCTGTCATTCAGCGAGTCCCCCCCCCCCCCCCCCGGGCCCCCCCGTCCCCCCGGCGCCGCCCCCCCCCCCCCCCCCCGAGGCTGCGCGGCGCGCGCGGTCCTCCAGATTCCCGGCTCTGCGTGAGGGTCGCTCCCCTCACTCCCCGCTGAAGGCCTCGGCTGGACGCATTTCTCTCTGGCCACCCACCCCTGTCCCCACCCCTCAAAGCCTAGCTCAGGGCTGCCTTGGAGATGCCGCACCTGCTTTACCTGCAGTCTTGGAACGAATCAATTCCAGGATTGATTGGCTTTCTTGATTGGCTTTCCTGTCCCTGGAGGGCACGGGAGGGGAATCCACGGAGCTGGGAAAAGAAAAGGCAGAGCTCCCCGGTTCACCACCTGGTTGGAGGAAATAGAAAGTTGGGGGTTATTTTGTACTTTGGGCCTGAGGGGTAAAGCGAAGATGGGATTGAAAGGATAAAGAGTTTGAGGAAAAGTGGAAAGCAGCCAGAGGCTAGGCCTTTTATTTTTTCGAAAGCAATTCTTTGCCCACATTTGGGTTTGTGGTGCATTACTTCGAGGCACACACATTTACACACACACACACACACACACACACACACACACACACACTTGTAAAATAATAGCTTTTTAAAGGCGTCCAAAGCAGCCTATTTAGATGTACGAGAGGAAGGAAGTCTGATAGGTGTGAATCTAAACAGGATAACAATCACTTGTATAAATGTGATCTTATGCAATAAGTCTGCATCTTAAACTTTCAGTCTCTTTGGGTATACTTTACATTAGGGAGTGAAAAATACGAATTGCTGATGCAGACAGCCCGAAAAACACAAGGACACTCGATATGCTCACAACGGCCTGTACTTTTTGATTTTATGCTTCTCTTATAATTTGGCAGTGGTGGTGGGGGGCAGTTTTTTGTTTTTTGTTTTTTTTTTTTTCTCTCCAAAAGAGCTTTGTTGCATTTCATTTTTGAATAACCTCCTCTTCTCACCCATTTCCTTATCTGCCCTTTACATGAAGCAGAAATTCCTTCTGCTTTGACAGATCTTCTGTTATTCAACACTTTTCAGCTTATAGTGCATTAGTCAAAACTGTGCCCACACCCCTAACCCCAACAGCTGTGAGTCTAGGAAATCTGTTTTATTTCAAGGTTTCAGAAACCACCCTGTAAACGGTGGCCTGAGCTTTCTTGGTTTCAGCTGGCACTGTTCTCCCTACTCCTGTGTGCTGGGTGTGGGCATGTCTAACTTTACAATTAGAAATTAGATCATGGCAGAACCATTACTGAGAAGGTGTCTTAGCCTCAAATTCCTGCAGACATTAAGGAGTTTGTAGAAAATTGCTGGGTGTGGTTTAAGTGATTTTTTTTTCTAAATAAAACAAAGAGAAATTTATTTTAAATCTCAAGTGTCTTTATTATTTTGATTTTTTGTTTCTTTGTTTGTTTGGTAGGTGGCCCAGGCAAATAGTGTCCTCTATTGGCCTCTGTCGTTATGGTGGCAGGATTGACTGCTGCTGGGGCTGGGCTCGCCAGTCCTGGGGACAGTGTCAACGTGAGTATCAAGTCTGGAGGATCCAGTTCAAGGAGGGGAGGGGTATATGAATAGGGGGATTTATCTTTTTGCCATAGTTCTAGACTTGGCACTTTGGAGGGCTTGCCTGTGCAGATTTAATCCAAATCCTTATTCTGTTCCTTTCTAACCAGAGGCACCTGTGTTATAGTACCAGCTGATCACAGGGAGCCCCCCCCCCTTTTTAAATTTTATTGTTTTATATGTATGGGTGTTTTGCTTGCATGTATGTCTAGGCACCACTTCAGTACCTGTAGATATTCGATGGTTGTGAGCCAACATGTGGGTGCTGGGAATTGAACCCAGGACCTCTGGAAGAGCAGCCAATGCTCTTAGCCACTGAGCCATCTCTCCAGCCCTGTGCTACTCCATTAAGCTTTTGTCCTCAGTTCCTTCCACTCCAGGGTTCTCATCAGGCTTATTCCTTCCTTTGCTCCAAGCTCTGCGATGAAGGTGAGATAATGAGTCTAGACAATATTTACACTAAATAAATTTGGAACTTAAGAGTACCCGTGAAATCTTTACCAGAGCAGTTGTGCAGGGTGGCATATTTGCTGTTTTCAAGTCTTTTTTTTTTTTTAATTTTTTTATGAAGAGAAGTTGTACTGACATCTACATTGGCCAACCAATAGGGTTATAGGAAACATCTGGAAAACATCATTTGTAAATTTGATAATCGATCAAAGTCATATATAGTAAGTGCCAAATCAGAACACCGATTTCTATTTTATTCATGCTCAAAACAGATACTTGAATGATGAAAGTCCTAGTGGTAAACAAAAATTAGATTCATTTAGCACAGATTTTGATTAGATCTAGATCTCAAAAATGTATCCTGTCTTCTTGATTTTCCCCTCTCCCTCCAAAAAGAGACACATCCCACCCCAAGTAATCAAGTAGCTTTCTGGGGCATCTGTGGAGCACAACATCTGGCAAGATGATGGGCACGGAGCTGGGCTCCACGCTGGGACATCTGCCTTGTCAGTCATGAGGTACCGTAGAGAAGGGTGATCAAGAGGAGGCCAGAGGGCAACGGAGGGGCCTGACCTGGAGATGCACTGGCAGAGTGAGGAGTCAGAAGATGAAGAACCCCATTAGCTATTATCAGCACTATGCTGATGTTTAACTTGGTTGAGTAAGGAAAGTGATTGCCACAGGCTGACTAATTCAGGATGTTGTCTCTGCTTGGAGACAGACAGGTGAAGAGAACTAGTATTTGGTTTCCTGTTACTTGTAAGCACTAGCCCCTTGCTCATTTGGGCTGTTACCTCCTGCTAAGGAGAGATGGAGTTTCTAGCACATGGAAGGATCAGGCGACATTGTCCGGCTTTCACTGGCGAGTCAGTTCAGTGTGGAAGATGGCTCAAAACAGGACTGGCACCTTCTGCCAGACACATGAGAGTGTTAGAAGTGCTGGCAGGCAGAGGCTCGCAGGCCTGGTGAGCCACCAGGCTGAATTATCAGAAAGCAAGGAGGAGAGGAAACGTCTCTCCTGGCCCAGTATCGAAACAAATCCATCCCAGATGAAACCATGGCCAGCCTCTTTGCAGGAAGGAGTTCTTTCCTCCTCCTCTGCTGTAATGTTCAGGAAACTGGGGAATTGAACACTGAGGGGCCTTAAGGTCCACACAGTCGTCCAGCCCTACCCAGGCCAAGGAGGCATGCACTGGCAGAATGCCCTGTGTAGCAGTGGGCCACACCTTCGCACCTGCCCTGCAGGCAGAGATTAGGAGAATGCAGGTTTGACGCCAGGTGTGTTGAAAGAATTCTAAGGGGAAAAACTCCTAGGCTTTGGAGAGGTCCTGCTGTGGAATTCCCCGAGCAACAGTAGGAGATGTTTTATTTTCATGTAGCAAGTAATTAAAATTTCCCAAGAATGTACTAGCTTGGCAAATCTAAATCAGAACAAGTACAGAGGCCTTTTAAAGTTACAGTGGAATTATGAAATATAACCATCCAAGAGATTTTTCTGGACTTCTCTCTCTCCCATGCTTTTCCTAACAGATTGGGGACACAGTCATTTTCAAACCTTCATTTTGTTTCCAAAAGAACACAAAGGAGTGGTGCTCAGTAGTTCTCTTTTCCCCCTTGTTAATCCTGAGCATGTGAGGAAAGTGCAGTATAGAAGTCAGAGATTAAAATCGTCCCATGACATGTGTAAGATTGTCTTGCAACACATCACATTTCGTCGGAGATGTGGTAAAGTTTGGGAGCCAGCACGTCTGAGGGGGAGCGTGCATAGCGTCTGGTTCTTGACAGCCTAGTTTTAAGTTTCTTTTGACCTTCTTGACTGTGTGGCCTTGGTTGAGTAATTCATCACGGTCCTGTGCTTCATTTCCTTCATCTCTAGAATCAACCTGAAATGTTACAGACCTTGACGACATATAGCAGTGAAATGAGTTGTCATTTGTAAAGCCCTGGACACTCTTCTTGGCCTGAGCAAATGCTACAGCTGCTGTTCTTGGTCATGTTCAACGTTCATTATGACTACAGCACTGGAGGGCACAGGAAGGGTATATATGTGCTATCAGATTCCGTGTTCTTCAGTCAGGAAAAATGCCCACCTGGCCAACTTAAAAATGGTCCCAAGACTGGACTTAGGCCTCCTATACATATGTACTCATGGGGCAGCTTGGTCTCCATGTGGGTCCCCTAGAAAGGTGAGCAGGAGCTGTAGTTGACATGGACTCGGTTGAATGCTTTTGGATCACTTCCCTTTGGAGGGGCTGCCTTGCCAGAACACTGTGAAAAAGGGAGTGCTCAGTCCTGATGTAACTGGATGTGCTGGAGTAGATTAGCAGAAGGGGAGGACTCCTTTTTCTGGGGGGCAGAGAAGGGGGATAGGGGGAAGAGGGGGGGAGAGAAGAGTAGGAACCAGGAGGAGAGGAGGGAGGGGGCTCAGATTGTGATATAAAGGGAATTAATTAATCAATCAATTAATTAACTAATTAAAAAGGGTCCCCTGTTCTGTTGAAATGAAGTTTAAGTTGAAAAAGGGCCTTAGCCCTTACCACTTAAGATGGTGAGACTACAAAGATGAACTCAGGGATAGCAGTAATCTTCTGTGTGTTTTCCTTTTGCCAAATCTTAGATGGTCCAAATGTCTTCTGTCAGCTCAGAATCTGCTGTCCTTGTTTTGATCTAAGGTAGAGGAATGTGAGGGCAAGAGGTCAGCTCAAAGGATAGAACTGCACCAAAAAGCACCTTGTAGGATGACTGAAGCATCTCTGAACACTCCTGACTGTTTCGAATGCCTTCATAAAACCGAAACTTTTGCATTCAATTCGAGGATAATGCCTTGAATTAATTGTGGCAGTCAGTTACCTATGTGACTTTTAACCACTTTTTTTTTTTCTTAAAGTAACGTGAAAAGGATTTTCGGCTCTGTGACCCTTAAATAATCCGAGTGTTCTTTTCCATGCAGCTTCCTTGTCAAAGGTGCCACAGTTCCCTTCTGATTGACTCAGTTTGTGATTTCCCTTCACAAAGCACAGCAAAGCATATACCAGCTGTAACCACCTGTTACGCAGAGCCTTTCAGTTTGTCTAGGAGACACATTAGACACATCAGGGTGGGCATGTGACGCTCACATTTCGCTGTCTACTAGATTGTATGGCCTTTCATGCAGAGACCCTGCAGTGAGCATCTGCTCCATTGGGTTGACCATTTGTGACATGTTTTGACCCAACAGCAGTCACCTGAGTCAGATGTCTGCGCAAAACACTCCACATCTCACTCCTACCCGCTCTCCTTTTCCTGGACTTGTTTGGAGAGACTCATATTGCAGGGTCACGGAACTGTCTGACCTCCTGTCTGGCTTACCACCATTAGCTACAAAGCCACATTTAACTCAGGGTCTGCCTATCTTTCTCTCCAGGACTATTGAAGGACAGAGCAGAGGAACAGCCCAGTGGGCATGGGGTCTGTCCTCATTTTCCCTGCCTGTGCTACCCAGAGCCCAATCCCAGCATTCCTACCCTGCTGGAAAAGCATGGCAGTTTCCAGAAATAGGCAGGTTGTGTTTTCATAGTTCATTTTTGGGTTAGATCCTTGGCATCTTTCTATTCTTTGACTCTTTGTTTTGTGTTCTTGGCTCATAAATAGATCTCTTGCACATTGAAAATGCCACATTTGATTTTCTAATTGTCTTGGGATTTAAACTTATTGAATATTAATGGGGCTCTTTATTATCAAATGAAATTTTCCCTTGTGTTCTCCTATTGGTGGTTGTGTATTTACAGCACACAGTACCTTGGGCTCTCAAATATTGTCACAACATATTTGTTTCTTGCTTGTAAATTTCTGTGCTTCAGCCTCCCCATCGTTTCAATGGCACGTTTTATTTTTATTATGTGAACTTTTTCGTCCCTCCTGCCAAAGTAGAGACTTTTGTAGTTGAGGTTTCTTGGGTTTTTGCGCTTCATTTTAAAGGCTCATCATGCAGTACAAACAAAAGCACTGGACGAGTTGGGGCCTTGAACTCAAGCCCCCACTTTTCTACCTGCTTATCCATTAGCATATCTCCAAGGTAGGTTGCTTGTCAACGCAATCAGAGAATGTCCATGATGAGAAGAACAGAGCGTGTCTGGTACGATTTTTTGTTTTTTCTTGGAGACCAGGCTGGGTGGATACTTAATGAGAGTAGTATTTTTTTTTTTTTTTTTTTTTTTTTTTTTTTTTTTTGTTGTTGTTGTTGAAAGCACTTTCTGGAGATGCACAGGGAAATTCAAAATGCAGCTCAGAGTTCTTCAGCATCAGAGTTCTCTGGCCATCAAGGAACTGAAGGAAAGGCTGTGGATTAAAATGGTTTTGTATCCCTTACCCCCAGGTGCAGGGCAAATGCAGGTATTTTGTTATGTTTCCACTGGAGAGTTGGGAAAAACTGAACATCTACACCCACAGACAGAGCGCTGATGGTTCTGGGCTCATGCCTCCTGGCATGTCCCTAGCCACAGAATGCCCATGTGAAGATTTTAAGGACA